GTCCTGGTTCTCTGTAAAGCCACGATCATCTGTAAAGCCAGGTTCTCTGTAAAGCCAGGTCATCTCCCACGGGCCCCCACTCTGTGTCTCATGGTCCCCAGGAGGAAGTTTCCATTCCAAGCAGGGCCCGAGGAGGGGCTGGGCTGTGTGCCAGGGGCTGGGCACTGACCCCGGAGCCTCACCCTGGGTCTTTCCCACTGGGCCGGGGCCTCTCTGTGTGTACCAGCTCAGCACGGGGTGGGGTGGACACAGGCCTCAGCTCAGAGCCGGCCCTGGCCGGGCCACCCTGGGGGCCACAGGCTGGTGGTCCACGTGCATTGTCTGCCTCGTGAGCAACGCGGGACTCCTGATTCTCATGGTGCACTTAAGGGAAACTGAGGCACAGAGCACTGAGGACCCGCCTGGGGGGATGTGTGGCTGTGTCTCAGGCCAGCCTGGCCTGGGGGGGGGGACAGCAGGGGGACCTCATGTCTGACCGTGCTCCCGCCGTGTCTTACGTGGGGGTGAGGGTGGGCTGCACTGCCCGAGGCCCTGGGAGGGGGGGCAGGAGCAGGAAGCCTCAGCGGGACCAGCTGCTCTGTCCCCCTTGGGTGGGGACGTGGTTGTCAGGTCCACAGAGGGAAGGACAGCCCCGAGGCTGGGGGGTGCTGGGGGGCTTGGAAGAGAGCATTGATGCCGTGGGGATCGGCGTGGACTGGGAGGGGCAGTGGGAGGCTGCCCGCCCGCTCGCCCTGGTGGGGTCCAGCCCAGGCGTCCATAGAGCTGCGCTGAGCCTCTCCTGTGGGGGGCAGTGGACTGGCGTGGGGGTCAGATGTGCGGGTGACCAGCAGGGAGAAGAGAAGCACGTGGTTTCTGGGGTGTGTGGGTCCCTCGTGGGGGTCCCTCGGGGAGCTTGTGGCATGGCCCACCGGTAACCGTGTCTCACTTTGTACCCCAGGAGCTCTTTGGAGACCGGAAGCACCCTCTCCACTGACCGCTACAGGTACTGTCCCCTCCCCTCCGGCCGGCCTTGATCCCACGGTGCCCTGGGGGCCCGGATATGGGGGGGCAGCAGCTGGCCCCGCCACCCCCCACTGGGGGCTGGAATGCAGCTGGTGTTCTGGAGAGCTGGCTGAGAATAAGTGCCCATCCCCCCAGGACCAGGACCCAGTTGGACCCCCACCGCCACCCTGGGGCCAGGGCTCAGCTGTTTCCTCCTGAGATGGGGGGCCCCAAGGGCTGGTCTACCATGAAGGTCCCACAATGACGCAGAGAAAGGCCAGTGCTTGGCTGGAGAGCGGGGGGGGGGTCCCCCCATCAGCCGGGGTGCACGCCGCACCTCGGGGATGCCGACTGTCTTCAGCAAACCATCCCTGCAAGGCAGAGGGAAGGTGTCGCGCCATCCAGGGCATGAGCGCAGAGGTGGGGGGGGCGCTGGGCTCTGCGTTGGGGGTAACCTGTGTTGGGAGGAGTAGTGGGAACACCAGGAGTTGATATACTACAGGGGACAGGAAGTTCCCCTGCGGAATCTCTTCCAGGGTGGGCTTGCTTTGCAGGGTATGGGGGCCGGCCCAGAGTGACCGTGGGGGACACTCCCAGGGCAGAGCCTGGACCACCAGCAGGGCTGCACCCCAAATGTGCGGGGGTGGCCAGCGATGGGATGGCCTCAGGGCCAGCTCTGCACCTCCAAAACTGCAGGGAGGGAACAGGCAGTGGACGTGGGACGCTGCTCCTCTGAGCCGACTGGGAAGCCACCAGTGGACAGGGCCAGTGCCAGCGCCCACACCCTCCGGAGCTCTGCCCTGTGGCCTTACCCTCACCCACCCTGAAGGGAGGAGGAAGCACTTAGCCTGGCCCCTTGGAAGGGGTCAGCATCTGATACGACCCCCAGTTCTGACCAGGGGACACGCAGATCACACTCTGCATAGCCACAGAGTCGAGCGGGCGATCTTTGTGGGACCCCCGCACCCCTACCCTGGAGCCAGGCTGCCCTGTCTCTTGGCCACCGTGGCCCCCCATGAGCTCGCGCTCGCTGACCTTTTGTCACAAGAGCAACAATCCTCTTGGGTGTCTCTAGTGGGAACGGTGCTAACTCAGGTGTTTCTTGGAAGTGGAAATGGTGTTAGGGTCGACTTGTGAAGGTGCGGGACCCCTGCGGGAACCCTTTCCCTGCACCCTCTGGCAGAATTTCAGAGGTCCCTCGTCCAGGGTGCCCAGCAGCTGAGCAGGGCTGCCTGCCTGAGTCCTGGGTGAGCTGCTCACCCCATGCCGTACCCACTCCTTGCCGTGTGTGGTCCCCCACTCCCGCCCCCCATCACGGACTGCCTCCCTTCCCACACCTCCTCCTTCAATGATCACAGAGTCACATGCAGAGTCTAGAATGTTCTCGAGTTGGGTCGGTGCGATAGTCCTATGGGCACTTGCCGGGCACTTGCCGAGCACGCGGCCAATCCGGGTTCAATCCCCAGCATCACCCATGGACTCCCCAGACCCCCACCAGGAGTGATCCCTGAGCAACGGGTGTGCCCCCCGCTACCCAAATAGTTTCTTGAGTTTGTTGCGCGTGCTGGGAGTCTTTAGTACAAGTGTTCGCACTTCTCTTCTCGTGACCGACCACACACAGACAGACAGACACACACACACACACACACACCTGCCCCCCCCCCACCCCTACAAGGGGCCAGGGGCTGCTGAAACTCCCCCACAAGCACACAGCAGCATGGAGTCACCTGCTCGTCCACTCTGCCGCCCGCTGACCAGTGGGCAGCTCAGAAGGGACGAAGGTGGGGGCGGGGTCTTGTCCTGTTTCAGGCATCACAAGCATGAAAAACTGGCCCTGGGGCCGTGGGGACTGGTCAGCCCTGGCCACTCTGGGGAGGCCAGAAGTAACAGCACCGGCGATGTGGCCCCCGGAGGGTCGTCCAGGTGGAGGGTCAGCCCCGTGCCATGGTCCTGCAGTGCGTCCCCGCCCTGCGTCCCCCTCAGCGCCCCCAGAGACCAGAGGTCGGGGGCTGGACCCTCAGGAGTTCCTAGTGTTTGGGGGGCAGCAGTGGCCGAGGCCCTCTTGTCCCGGTGGGGGGGGTCCGTGGGGGAGAAGCTGCGACCGAGGTGGTCCCGGGCAGTTCTGCAGAGGCGCGGGCTGCAGCCTGGGAAATGAGACAAAGGTTCCAGCCAGTAATTGGCCCCTTTCACAGACCGGGCGCTTCCTGCGGGCGCGTGAGGGGGATGCTAATGTTGGGGGAGGGGCAGCGCTACCTCTGCCAGGCAGATGGTCCCCTCCTCCCCACGCGGCCCCCCACCGCCTCCACCTGGGCATCCCCTCCTCTGCCTCTGCCCCAGTGCTGTGGGCTCCTGCTCCTGGGGGCCCCCGGGGGCAGCTTGCACCCACCTTCCGGAAGCCTCTCAGCTGTGTCCATCCTGTCCAGGAGCCGTGTGTGTGTGTGTGTGTGTGTGTGTGTGTGTGTGTGTGTGTGTTGGCGGGAAGGGTGTTTAGCAGCCGTGAAATAGTCCTTTAAGCCAGGGCTGCCCCGCCTCCGGTTAGGGTGACCCCAGATTTCTCCAGATGTCGCCAAATGTCCCAAGCAGGACCACGGGTGGAGGCAGCATGACCTTCGCCCCCCCCCCGCCACCCCCTAGCCCCATGGGATCCCGGTGCCCGTGCTGAGTGGGAGACCCGCCTCCAGGTCTGGGGGCCCTGCCCCGGGGGCTTTTCTAGGACCCTGTCCCATGCCAGCCCTTGGCCTCCTGCAGCCTTGCTGGGACCCCGACCCCAGCCCCCTGCCCCATGCCACACACAGGGATGGGGTCTTCGCTGCGCCCCTGCTTTCTTGCCTGGGGTGAACCAGCACCTTGTAAATGAGGTTGAGCAAACCAGGGTGCCCCATGGCAGAGGAGGTGGACTGTGTGTCCAGTGCCCTCCCCCCAGCCCCAGACCCCTCCCTCACCTCCTCAGGGGCCTTTGCTGCCACAATGACAAGTAGTGGCCCCCGCAGGTCAGGCTGAACCCTGAGCTGTGGCCTGGGCGGGAGGGGAGGTACAGGGGGAAGTGATCAGGGGGGCAGGTGATCGAAGGTCCTGTCTTTGGAGAGAAAGGGCGGGTGTCAGAGGGCTGGGGGGGGGGGGCGAGAGGTGTTGGAGGTCCCGTCTGATGGTCCCGGGGAGCCCCCAGGAGGGACCTACAGGACTTGAAGGGGACTCGGGGGCTCACTCACATCAGGTGGGCAGCAGGTGGACGGGTCAGTGTGTGGCTTCTCCCCTAGCATCTGAGGCCACCTGAGGCCATGGAGCAGGCTGGTGCAGGCTGGCCAGGGGAGTGGACAGCAGGGTCAGAGCAGGACCTGGAGCCCCCCACCATCGGTACAGGGGGTGCTGGTGGCACGGGGGGGGGGGGGCCGGGGCCCCAAGCCTGCATTCTGCCCCGGGGTCCCTGTCCCTGCCCAGTGATGGCCCCGGCTGGCCATGGCCCCTGGCCACACCCCGCCCCCTCCTCCCTCCCCAGCCACGGGAGTTCCCCCCCCCCCCCCCCCCCCGCCGGCAGCCAATGAGCGCGGCCTTGGCAGTACCATTTTAGATTTTATCAATGTGTCCCCGTTGCCCGGGCAACGGGCTGGGCGGCCCTGTCAGCCTCTCTCCGCTCCCACCATGTGGCGCCCGGCGGGTCTCTGCTCACGCAGGCCGGGATCCCGCCAAACCGGACTGAGCTGGCCGCCGAGGAAGCCACTGTCTGGCGGTTTGTCTTCCCTCAGGCTCACCCCCTCCCCGTGGGGGGGCCCCGGGGGTCCCTGGTGTCTGCCGCGCTGTGCCCTGACCCTCGGTGGGTGACCGGGGGTCCTGGCTGTAGAAGAAGCCACCAGGAGCTCCAGGATGACAGGCCAGGGGCCCCCAGCCCAGCTCCGCCCGGCCCCGGCTGCCTCGGCCTGCCCCGGGGACCCCCAGGGGAGCCCCAAACCGCGCCAGCCACCAGAGACAGCGGCAGAGAGGCCGCCCCGACGCGCCGCCTGAGCGAGCCGCCGGCTTTTGTGTGCGGTTCTTTGTACTGGAGGCGGGTGGTGCCGGCGCCCGGCGTGGGCGTGGGGGCCAGGGCGGGCCCAAGCCTTCAGCCCCCCGACTCCCACCAGCCCCTCTCTGCATCCCTGTGGAGGCGCCAGGACGGGCCGGCCGGGGACCCCAAAGGTGAAAATGCTCAAGTTCAAGGCCTTTTGCCTGGATTACTGGCAGTTTCTGTGTCTGCAGCCGCTGCACGGCATCTATAAAAGGTACGCAGGCCCTCGGCGGGGGGTGGGGGGCCCCGGGGGTGGGGGGAGAGTTTATCCTGGGTCTGCCACCCACAGAGCCCCCTCGCCACCCCGCGCCGGGTCCCAGCGCCCAGCTTTGGCCCCGCTCACTTTGCGTCTCTGCTCCGTCGCTTCCCCACCCTGAGTCCGGCCGTTTTCTGCAGGAAACTGGGTCACCCCAGAGGGTCCTGTGGCCCAGCCACTGTTGTCTCGTTCCTGGCTCCTGGGAGCAGCCCTGGGGCCGATTGTCCTGCGAGAATGACCCAGAGAGCCTGGTCCCGTCCCGGCCGGCCGCTGGACAGTGGGGATTTGCCTGTCTCCAGCTCAGGCAGGGGTCTGGGGCCGAGCCGGGTCAGGACAGCAGCCCTGTTCAGGCAGTGGCCGTGCAGGTCCCTGGCCCCTGCCCAGCTGTGGCGCGCTGGCTTGGTCACTGTCCCTCTCAGAGCTGCTGCGTCCTCTTCCCGCGGGACTACAGCCTCAGGATGGGGAATGGCACGGGAGGGGGAGGGGCTGCTCCCTGAAAGGACATGGGCAGCAGACACCACGGACTGTGTCCAACACAGAACGGGGAGGAAGTGCCTCAGGACACTGTCCCTGCGACCAGAACACAGTCCCCTGAGCGGTGTTTCCCCAAAGCCATGGCAGGAGTGAGTTAGGGCACCTGCCTCTTGGGACTCTTTTTCCTGATTCTCACTTGCCTGTCCAGGGCTCCTGGCAGCGGGAAGCCTGGGGCCATCCCAGGCCAAGTGTGGGCTGAGGGACATGTCCGCCCCGCCTGCAGGGGGCACTGGGCTCCCATGCGCTGGGCCCTGGAATGTTCTGGTATGGTAAGAGTCGGACCCAGAAGCCTGTCAGGCTTGCCTTGGGGCTGTGAGTGTGGGAGTAGGACCCAGTGGGGGACTTCGGGGAGGAGGGGCAGACCAGCGGCCAAGTGCCTGCAGGAGTTGGTGGGGCCCAAGGCAGGGGAGACGCCTGGAATCTTGCAAGGGCAGGTGTGCCCAGGTGGCCGCAGGCGACCCTGGGTTTTATGGAGTCCTGCCCCCCTGCTGGCAGCGGAGACCACTGAGGGTGCTGGGCAAGGAGCCAGGTCCTCCCTGGGAGTCCCATGGTCCATGTGAGAGGCCTGGCTCCGCCTCCAGGAGCCAGTGAGACTCCCCGCTGGCCCACTTGTGGGCAGTGGGCATCTTTTTCAGACAGTGCTATTTTCTCAAGCTCTGTGTCCCAGAAACTCAAGACACAATCCTTAGGAACGGAACTTTCTGTGTCTGAGGGGAAGAGTCCCTCACAAACCAGGAACATCGGGCTCTCGGGTTTAGCAGTGGTCCTGCCGAGAGCCCAGCAACCAGGTGGGAAGCCATCTGGGGGAAATCAAGGAAGACTTCCTGTACTAAGTGACATCAGAGTCATACCTGGGTGGAGGAGCAGGATGATTCCTAGACAGGAAAAGGCGTCATAGCTGGGGCATGAGCACATAGATGGAGCACAAGCTAGGCTGGTTCAGTGTCAGAGGTGAAGCCGAAGTGTCAAGTACCTGCCCGTGATGGGGACAGGTAGGACGACTGGGTGAACAACGCGACATTGAGGCCGCTGCGTGTCTGCCACCCTGAGGCCTCTCTGCCAACACCCAGCTCTGCACAGCCCCAGGGAGTGGAAAGTCCCCCAAATGGTTCCATTGTAGGGAAATCGAGGCCTGGGGAGGAAAAGTTAGCCGGCCAAGCCATTGGGCCATCCGGCCAGTCTGGCCGCAGAGGCCGCAGCTGGCCAGCTGAGGGGCTTCCACGGGACACCCAGCCCATCAGTGTCTGTAACCGGTGGGGAATATCCATCAGCCAGACAGTGGACACTGGCTTTGTGCTAAGAGGCCCACCTCGTGGTCCCTCCATAGCTGGGGGCCAGGGGCTCGGGGGTCTTGGCACTCCGTGGGATACACCACACTCTGGAGGGGCTTCAGGGATGATTTTGCCTGAGCAGGGTCCCTCCGAAAGGCTTTGCAGGCAGAACCACGCTCCCCAGCACCCCCACCCCACCCCGTGCCATATGCTGTTGTCGGAAGCTGCGACCCCAAACTTGAGAGTATGAAAAGGGTGTTTTGTAGACAATGCATAATTAACCACTTCTAAACACAGGGTGTGCCGGGCTCCCGCGAAGCTGTTAATTATTCTTCATTAGTGATCTTAAATTAATGTAAAATAATCCTGGAGCCCTGCCAGGGACAGGGATGGAGGGTGGAGGGGAGCTGCCCGCTCTGGAGTCCCGACCAAGGAAAAGTCAACCCCCCGCCTCTGCCCCTACTTGGGGCTCTGGCGACCCACAGCCCTCTCGGCTTAGGCCCATGGGTGGGCACAAAGCCGTCCCTGTGCCCCCCCCCCCGCCCCCACCCGGAGCCCTGCAGACACTGGGGTGCCCTCCTGGTTGATGTTCGGCCAGAGAGAATGCAGGGTGGGTGAAAACTCAAGCCCACTTCAGAAATGTGCCTCTCGTTCCCGGGGGCTGGGGGCCTCCCTCAGACCCCCACCCCCAACTCGCCTGACCCCCACCCGTGCTGATCCTAGCTGTGGTTTTTCCTGCTGTTAAACTTCAGCTGCGTGAGATCGTCATTTGCAGTTCGCTTTCTGAGAAAGCTTCGCTCCTGCAGTTCAGGAACCTGACATGAGTTGCTCCAGTCACTCCTCAAGTGTCCAGCTCAGGGGCACTGAGGGCCTGAGCACTGTGGCATGACCATCCCACACTGCCTCAGGGACTTTTGCCTCTTCCTGTGCTCTGGCCCCATCGTACCGAACATGGCCCTGTCAGTCGGACTGCTGGGGGTGGCAGCCCGTGACTGTGGGGTCAGACAGGGCATGTCTGCTGCTTCCCCCGCCCAAGCCTGCTGTCTTCAGAGACATCCCTCAGTGCTCATGAGCAGCAGAATCCCCTACCTTTTAAAGGCTGCATAATATTCCCTGACGTGTGCAACCATGCTCTTCTGCTTTCTGTGGACAGGGCCTGCTGCTGCCACAGGCTATTCTTCATGAGGTCCGGGGTCTGTGTGGTTTCTCAGGACCCCCGTGGCCAAGAGGACCCCTCCCACAATTCTCCCACAATTCTCTGTCCACCCGACGTGCAGTTCAGTGCAAGGGCTCTGGCTTGTGGTACTTCTGGGCCCTGCAGTGCCTAGGACCACTAGGACCCTCCCGATCGGGACCTGGGCTCCTTCTGGGTCACACTGGCTGTGCATGGGGACATTTGTGAAGCCAGGGGTGGAATGGGGCCAGACCTCTGTGTTCTAACCACTACACTATCTGCCAGGGCCGGCATTCTTGCTGACTCTCGGCATCTCAAGGCAGATGGTATGCTTCTTTGGTAAGGGAGATGGGAACGCAGGTGTGGTGAGGGCCCTCCTGAGCCCGGCTCAGGCAGCCGGAAATGGAGGGTGTCAGCACGCTCCGTTCCCTGCCCCATAAGCCATCTTTTGCGTCCTCACCAGCATGCTGTGGGGGCTTCTGCCCGGCCCTAGAGGGTAGCTCTCAGGGTCCCAGCAAACTGAGTCCCTGCTCGGCACGTTTCGTTGGCCTCTTGGGGAGAAGTGAAGTTGGCTCTGCGGATGGGCGATCTGTAAAGAAACTCCTTTGGGAGCCCTAGGAGTGGCCAGTAGGAGCTGGGGGCCCAGGAGGGGTTGGGCAGAGGCTGCCAGGACACCCCCCTTAGAGCCTCCACTGACTCTCAGGAAGCTCAGGCCAGGCCCCAGTGGACTGGTGTTGAGCACCCCCGAGGCTTCAGAGAGTGACTGGCCAGTGTGGGCTCCCAGGCCAGGCAGGCGATGGTTGCCGCTGTCCCTGCCAGGGCCCAGCGTCCCCAGCGCTTGGTGTCGTCTTCATCTTCGGGCAGCCTGAGACTTTGCTGTGGTGTCCCTGGTCCACGAGGCCCGCGAGGGCGAGTCGGCTGCTCCCCACGCGGAAGGGGGACCTGCTCCCTGGGGTAAGCCTCCGGAACCTCTTTCAAACAAGGGCGGTGGCCGTGGGGGACACAGCCGGGCAGCTGGGAGGAGGTGCCCCCGAGCCCGGAGTCCTGGGGGCGAGCAGCCAGACGCTCGAGGCCAACCACACGGCAGGGAGACAGGAGCTCCTGGTAGGAAGAGTGAGGACCCTGCATCCCACCCAGCACGGGCTCCCCCACTGTGAAGAGGCCAAGTACTCCAGAGTCTGGACTCAGGACCACAGGCAGGGGGAGAGTCTGATTGGTCCAGACCTGACTGCCCCGCCCAAAGACATCGGCAGAACCTGATTGGTCCAGCCAGCCCGGACTGCCCCGCCCACAGGCATCGGCAGAACCTGATTGGTCCGATTCGTCCGGCCCTGTGCTGGGAGCCCCGTGGGAGGTAAACACCATCCCACCCGTGACCAGATGGGGCATGCAGAGACCAGTCCCCGGGCATCATGCCCTGTGGTGCAGGCAGTGTGGACGGCACGGAGCGAGGCAGAGTGATCTCTGACCCATGTCGGGGCCCTGAGCGCTGGCCTTCAGGATCCCCAGGGAGGGATTCCGAAGTGGCTGGACAGCCCCCAGGCCGAGCTTTGAGGCGCAGTGTCCCTCCTGGAGACAGGCTGCCCATCCCGGGCTAGAACCATCTGGCAGCGGCAAGAGCAGGCACCGGAGGTCCAGGATGGCGCCGTGTGTGACATGCATGACTCCTGGATCCTGTGCTGGCCCCAGCCCCAGGGAGACGGCGTGAGAAGCACAGGGACTCCCTTCTTTCTGGGAAAGGGCCGGCCCAAGCTCCCCACACACCCACTTCCTGCCCACAGCAGTGGCTGCAGACTGGCGCAGACTGAGGACTGTCTGCCCTCAGCCGCATCCTGGCAGCCAGCGGAGGAGTGGGACGTCCCACAGGGGACGGCTTTGCCAGTCCGAGGGGCTCTGAATACCCAGCCCACTGGAGCTAAGCCTGAGTCCTAATGAGCTGGATGGAGCCTTTTCCCCATCAGAACCGGGCATGGCGGGTG